TACGTTATTCACGTAGCTGAAGTTGCGTACCTTAGTTCGATTTGGGGGGTTAGTGTAGACCAAGCCTAACTGAGTGGAAGAATGGAAGTGGGAAAGAGGATGGGTAGGGAAAGAGATACATTAGGTCCTTGGTTTCTTGACATGAATTCTTCTGCAGTTTGTCTGTGTTGAGAGCCTGGTGACGGCCATTGTCGACATGTACCCAGAAGTTCTCCAGAAGAAAGGGCACCGGGAGCTGCTGATCCTCGCCGTTGCAGTCATATGCTACCTGCTTGGCCTGATGCTAGTCACTGAGGTAAGAAGGGAAGTACATGGTGCGGGGAGAGGGATATGGACTTGTTTGGAGCAGTATTATCTGCAGCAAGTTTGTATCTCACACTGTTAGTTATTCTCTCTCTCTTTAGCTTAGTTTATTAGCTGGTGCATATCAGAACCAGTAGTTCTTCTTTCTTATATAGTGCCAGTTGAGATGCTGTCGTACTGTATAGCTGAGCTTCCTCTGGGGTATGTCTCAGAGATAACCTAGCACAGGGGTCAGCAACCTTTCAGAAGTGGTGTGCCGAGTCTTCACTCTAATTTAAGGTTTCGCGTGCCAGTAATACAATTTAACTTTTTTAGAAGGTCTCTTTCTATAAGTCTATAATATATAACTAAACTATTGTTGTATGTAAAGTAAATAAGGTTTTAAAAATGTTTAAGAAGCTTCATTTAAAATTAAATTAAAATGCAGAGACCCCCAGACCAGAAGCCAGGAACCAGGCAGTGTGAATGCCACTGAAAATCAGCTTGCGTGCCGCCTTTGACACGCGTGCTATAGGTTGCCTATCCCTGAACCTAGCACCACGGAAGGGCCACCTGAAAGGAACTTTATATCCAAACTCCAGTCCTGATGGCTCTCAGGTCAAAGTAGAGGAGCTACACGTGAGATGTGAATGCTGCCACTCTTTGTCTGTATGAAATTTTAGTTTGTACTGACTTCACTAGTGCTTTTTATGTAGCCTGTTGTAAAACTAGGCAAATATCGAGATGAGTTGATGTACCCCTTGGAAAACCTTGGAGTATCCCTAAGGTATGTGTACCCCTGGTTGAGAACCACTGATTTAGAGGAAAGAAGTCATTGATAGCTGCTCCCCACACTCTGGAGACAGCAGGATCTTGCTATCTGATACAGCCTCTCTTAGATGGCATTCCTGCAGTCATCTGAAAAGTCAGAGGTCCTTGCTGAGATTTTACTTGGGAGAATTCCCGCAGAAGGCAATAGGAGTTTTGCCTGAGTAAGGACTGGGTGAAAACTGCATCAGGACTTCAGGACGTATCTAACTTCCCTGGGGCTTTTACACATTGCCCATCACTGCGGGATAATCTAAACACTGCACAAAGC